TATCTCAAGACTGTACATGTTTAAATATATATATATACACATATATATGCACACAAAATAATCTCTGACATTTATCTGAGAAAATATGATGGACCCAATATACTAGGCAGATATTCTTGAAGATATAGGTTTTCCTACTGGAAGAAAATCAATTAGAAGAGTTTTGAACTGAAAAATTATTTTCCATGAATTTTAATACACTTACTTGTAAGAAACAGTATGATGAAACATACTGGAAATTCCATGATTAGAAGTTAATAATCATAGTATACATGATGTACATGCTAGCAGTTAATTGCTTCTTTAACATTTGGGGAGTTGGATGATATAGTCATATTTATTCTTGAATATAAACTCTAGGAAAATGTAATTGCTACACGCAATTACCACTATTATTTCTCTAGTAATCCACATGATACTCATTTCCACCAAACTACTTAAAATTAAATTGTTGTACTTACTTTCAACAATTACTTGTCTGTCTTCCCAGTTATCATTAACAAGCTGTATATTTCCAAAGTGTGCATCACTGTAAAAGATTCGGTTGGTACCTTTTCTTCTTTGACTATAGTCAAAAGCCAAGGCTATGATATTCTTGAAATAATGTGGATTCTCATATGGCCTTATTGGAGAATTTAAATTTGTTTCATCAGAAAGATGTATACTTTTTAATATTGTTCTCCCTGAATAGAGCAAGTAGCCTTCATGCCTTAGGCAAGTAACTCCATCGTCTGCCAAATATCCATGGGCACAAGCACAACTTCTCCGGGAATTTCCTCTATAAAGACAGAGTTGCTTACAGCCACCATTGTCTTTGGCACAGACATTGGTCCCTAAGAAATAAAAAAATATATATATACAAAACACATGTTTATGATTTTCTCTTGTTTTCCAAATAAGTTTTTTTCTTATAGAAATAATAACAATTTATTGTCTTTTTATTCTTAATTTTAAGACGAGTCAAGAAAAAAAAATCAAACCCTATAAAGTACTGTTTTCTAATCACAGCAGTTTAAAATCTTGGGTTTCTTATTTGAAAGATCACATTCTTCTGCTTCCTTCACCATCCAAATAAAATCATTAAAACTTTCCCTTAATGAGCCAGTTAAGTGTATAAATCTTTTTTGACACTTGATACTGAGATTACAATAGGTTTTATATATTGTCATCTTTGGTACAAATAACTGATTCACTCAAAAAGACAAACTGAATTCACCAAAAAAACATGTACTGCTTTAAACTGTGTGTCTGTGAGTTATGTCAGTGTCAAAGAAATTTGTGGTTCCAAGGTGCCTAACTTCATAAATGTATCAGATGTAAGCTTTTGCTCCACTTTTGAGTGAAGACATAATATGCTCTTAGGATTTCTTCGTGAAGCTAATTTTCCTCTATGAATCCATAATTATCATCTCCAAAATGATTATTCCTTTATTTGATGTAAAGAAAATTAATTATAATTTGTTTCAATGAAGGCAGATTTAAAAATACCCAAATCACTCTCATGTCAGTTTCAAAATACACATTATAAGGAAATGATGACTTCAAGAAATGTTTCACTCTAAAAGCATCAACTTCCAGAGCCGTGACCACTTTATACACTAACATATAATCCAAAACAAAAACTTCAGCCGCTTTTTACTCTCTAGTATTCTAATCATGCTTTTTATGTTTTGTCAAATCAGTATATCTATCAAGTATTTTTCATATTACTAACCCAAACCTATACTCAAGACACGCCTAATATGTAATATGTCTGTGTACGTATGCTGCCATATACAAGTGTACCTATTTATGAACTACTACATATTCATTTCACTAGGCTACTACATGAATTTTGTAGGACATTAGATGCAAAATATAAATACATAAAATAAGGTTTTGTGGTTTTGAACTAGTATAAGTATTAACCCCAACTTAAATTCGACAAATTTATTAAAAAATGAGACATAAATAACATAAAATACATTTATTACATATATTCCTTTAAGAGTGCTAACCTTTCTCTCTTACTCGGTTAAAGATTTTAACCTCCTTCAGGTTGACTCCAAGGCCAGTTCTCATGGTTACCATTTCTGTGGCATCATTCTTGTGGCCCCTTCTGACGGACCCATTAGCATGTGCTCTGCCAAAAAAATAGAACATACATGATCAACAATCTTCAATTAATTAAAATCAAGCCAGTTGTTTAAGCTGAAGATAACAGACGGTCAAACAGAAGTGAAAGAAACCAACTTTAGTCTGTTATATTGAAATTCTTGGGCCTGGAATAG